GCATAGCCCACACCATTAACGTTAATAAAATTGAATTGATTTAAGTGGACTATACTAAATCTGATCTAAAAAAATTCATCAGTTATTTTTCCTATAACCTGTTTTTTCTGATATTTTCCCTAACCCTAATCATCATCAAGTTTTGAGTCTAAGTTGGCCAATAGTGCTATCAAAATTTAGTACGTTTATCCGAATCCGTACTACCACATAACTTTATTGAATACCTTATCGTTATGCGCCGTTATTTTAAATGACCAAAAACCGCAAGTGGCTAACCTAGATTTTTAAATTTGAGTACTTATGGCTAGCAAGATTTGTAAATTTATTAATAAACTGCGTAGTCACATGCATAAACCAGCATTTTATGTGTATACTTGCTGGTAAAACCATTGGGATTTGGAGAATTTGGAGATTTATAGTTTGGGCGGGCATGAATATCTATTGATATGGTTGTGCAAAAAATTAACTATAGCATGATGCGGCTGTATGTACGTATGTAATCTTGCAGGAGTGGTTCTTTGCGTTAGACAGGCCTTAAAGAGCTAAACGAAAACGTTTTGTTTTAACGTTAATCTCTGTCATTGTGTGTATATATGGAAATAATTTCTTTGTCTATTGATTCTATTGATTATCGATTTTATTAATTTTACCATATATGTACGCATGTACGTAAGTACATCCATGTATTTACTAATTACATTTACTAATAAAAAAAAAATCCATTATTTCTATCACTAACCTTAATTAAAGACATCACATTTTGAAAGAGAGTAACACTTTTTAAAAGAAAGTGACATGTAAATCAATACGAATCATCCCAACCAATAGAAATTGGGGAAATTAGTAAATTCCTGACACCTTGTCGGGACGATATATCACTCATCACTTATCACCCATCACTTTAATCTGTGATGTTATTAAAATGTGACACTTTTCAATAATTTAGAAGTCGATAAAAAGGAGTAAATGGAAGGATACAATTTTATCAACTTTAATTAGTATAAAGCAAAAGAATAGTTTAAAGATGGAATCTAGTTTAATAGATGATAACTATATCTCTTCCTCAAATGATGATATTCGTGTTGTGATAGGATTTGGTAATTATTTCATGTATGCTCAAGGAATAATTTGGTTTGATTTTTGCTAACATATACACGTAAAACTTTTGTAGATTTTGGAACTACATACTCGGTAACATTGTTATTAAAGATATTTTTTGGTGTTTTCTAATCATCTAGATCTAACAGATATCATCCGTTAGGGTTTTGCCTATTGCCATACAAAAACTAAAGAAATCATTACCAACGAAACTTGGCCTGGATTAAAGGGCCATCTAAAAACTCCGACAGTTATTAAATATACTGATGATAATTATGATTCGGTTAAATTATGGGGATATCCTGCGCTAGCTCAGAGACCTAAAAAGAAAAAGGATGATAATGTTGACACTAAATCTATCGAGCATTTTAAGCTATGTTTGAGCGATTTACCTGATAAGCTTAAACCATCGCTTCCAATTCCTGAAACGAGAGTCATTACTGACTATTTTCGAGAAATAGGCAATGTAATAAAATTGCATACTTTATTAATTTCAGTGCTTATATTGCTTATATAAAATAAATATAAAATAATTTAATTCGATCTTTTAATACTGAAGTTAATGAAAGAGACGGTTGAAAGGACATGGCCATTTGTAGATTTTTTAAACCAAGTTTTACTTGTTCTTACTGTTCCGGCTGGTTTCTCTGAAAAGACGAAGAGGATCATGAAGGAATGCATGTATAATGCTGGCTTAATTAAAAGCCAAGATACGGAAACCGTCCAGTTTACTACAGAACGTACGGATAATTATTAATCTCTTCATTATGTTACTTCGATAATATGTTACATTGATAAATTATATTATATATACATACATATATACACACATAAATACACACATATATACACACATATATACACACATATTTTTCTCTCCTCTTTTTTTTAGCAGAAGCAGCTGCCATTTATTGCATGAAACATTGTCTAAAAGAACAATCTCTTACATCTGATGATAGTAAGTATAATTTTAGACACTTTTTTTGTATACATAAATGATACTATTAAATATTAATGGCACTCTTAACTTCTTTTTAATGTTCACAAGCAATCTTCATGATAGTGGATTGCGGTGGTGGCACTGTCGATTTAACGACTAGAAAATTATTAGCAGGCGGCCAGTTAGGAGAGGTTACCGAAAGGGCTGGCGATTTTTGTGGAAGTACTTTTATTGACAGAAATTTTCTCGAATTGATGGATTCAATTGCTGGAAAGTCAGCTATGAAAAAACTTAATGACAATAATTATGGCGAATTACAATATCTTGTTAAAGAATTTTGTGAACAGATCAAGTTACAGTTTACGGGTGATGATCCCGATTTTCATTACGAAATTGACCTTGAAAGGTATTTTCTTATTTATTATATTTTTATTTTTCCTTTTCGCATACTGTTACAGTGATAATGTTTGCTGTTACATTGCTTTTTATCAGCACATGCCCTGCTTTAAAAAAATACGTGACCGGAAATGAATTAAAAGAGTTAGAAAAAAATATGTGGGAAATTGATATTACATTTGATTCTATCAAAGCCATGTTCGACCCAATCATTGATAGAATTATTCGAATGATTCAAGCTCAACTTGAAAACGCTCTAAATTCTAGTTTTGGTGTAGCTCGAATTAGAAAGCCTCGTCATTCGATCCTTGCCAATAAGTGCTCAGCAATATTTTTGGTTGGAGGATTTGGTCAATCAAAGTATTTGTTTAATAGAATTAAAAAAGAGTTCTCAGATAAAGTCGAGAATATTTCTGTACCAACTCAACCTGCCGCTGCAATATGTAGGGGCTCAACCATGTATGGCCTTAGCATGAATAGTGCTAATATTGATCCGGATTTAGCAACCGCAAAATTTGTCATCGGTACTCGAGTATTGAAATACACGTATGGTGTTAGAGTTTGTGGTGTATGGACTAAAGATGATCCGCCACATCGAAAACTTCGTAACGGAAGAATCCATAAATTTAACCGTCTAGCAAAACGAGGTGTTGAAGTTAAAATTGACCAAGAATTCACTGGAACGTATTTACCAGTTGAACCAGATAGTAATAGTCTAGTTTTTTATATTTTTATCACTGAGAATAGTGATGGTAAATACTGTGATGAAGATGGAATGAAATTATTGGGATCACTTAGAATTGATCTTCCTGATCTTCATCTTGGGACTGAACGACCTGTTCAGTTCTCTTTGACGTTTGGTAAGATGGAAATTACTGCATCTGCAAAAAATATGATAAATGGCCAAAATTATCATTCTAAATTTGAACTTTCTCTAAAATAGTTTTTTTTGTTGTATTGTTTTTATTGTATTAATAGTTATGTAAATTTGTGATAATATCATGTTTTATATTAGTATTAATTTGTTGGCGTTAGTGGAATAATTATTTCAATTTAACTATCGTAAATGACTATAAATCTGTTGTATTTGGAGTGGTTATCTATCTAAAATAGCCACCACTAGTCGAAAGAGGGCAACCAGATACAAATCAGATAACAATCAAGTTTTCTGATTTCAAATCAATATCGATATGG